CGCACAGCCTGTGAGGCTAGCCTGGAGCTAGTCCAAAATCCACAAGTTCAACACCAGCTCTACAGATCTGCTCCTCTTGCCTTACCCTTCCTGCCAACAAGAAGGATATTTGGTACTGTCAAAATGCCACCTGTAGAGCGGTGCTCCCTGCTTGTGAGAGTATTTCTACCCCCTCTGGTTAACCTGATGCTGACAGTGTTACCCGTGCCACCAGTGTCACCAGGCAACTTTGCACAAATACCTGTTGCAATCAGCCTGCTTTTTCTTGAGCTACTTGTTGGCTTGATTACTCAGGAGCTTACAGTCTGTATAGCCTCACCCTTTGTAGTTCCCAAAAAGCCCCTGCGTTCCTTTGAGTTTATTGACAAGTTTGCCAAGCCTCCAGTCACATTCTTCTATGTTTTTGGTTTCACTTCTGCCTATCCTTTATCCTTCTGCTGGGGCTGAAATTGCTGCTAAACCTCCCAGGTTTGCGTATTTCCCTCTTTGTACCATCCCAGTTAGAGAATGTTGTCGCATGGCAACACAATGCAAAGCATTCATTTAGTGACACAGAACAGTCCAGCTAAAGGCTATTTCAGCCACAAATGGGTTCATTTTTGTGGAGAAGAGTAGACAGAAAAAAGGGAAAATGTCCACAGATCCCACAATCCTTCTTTATTTGGAAGAATGGCTTTTAAATGAAGTCAAGCAGTATCTTGTTTTATCATTCATTTATTTAGCAAAGAAAGGAATGAATTCAAATACCCCACACAATGAACACGTATTATTCCCTGATATCAAGATGCAGATTTGCTTGTGAACAATTTTAAATGAATCTGGTTTTTTTTACTATTGAAGTCATCTTGTACTGTGCATGGATTTGTGCAGAAGCAATACATTTTGGGCTCAATTCTGTAAACACATTAAAATAAGTAACTTGTTACATATATACCATTGATCTCGGTATGGTTACTTATGTGATGAGTAAAATTATATCCAAGAGCCTAGCTTATGCCAACCTAGGCATGGAAATTACACTGCAAATTAGAAGCATCTCTCTCTAGGCTCACTGCAGTGTTGGTGGAGAGACACAAGCCCTCATCAGGACGTAACTCTGCCCATCTAAGTACATTTTCCTAGATGAGACATAGACGATGCTGGTGGCAGCTACAGTTAAAATTGGCCAGACGCCTCAAGCAGAGCAAGATAAGCTTGGACCAAACTGTTTACAGAATTGATCTCATACAGCAAAGCCATTATGCATACAGTCAACATTAGGAATGTGCTCATGTTGCGCTGATTTTATTAAAACTGGTCCCACATTTAAAGAAGTGAATATATTTATTCTATAATTATGAGGAAAAAAATACTGAAGCATTTAATCCTATTAACATTTTACTTACATCTGGGACCTCTTACATTCTTTTCTGGTTTGAACAGCCATATGGTCTGATGCTGTGAGAAATCTCTTCACTAACATAAGTGCCTCAGTAGCTCTTAATTTGTATGCTGGAGTGGTATTTTTCCAGAGTGTGCTGTGGATCTCTGGTAGAGCTAACTAGATGCACAGTACCCCACACCAATGTGAGACTTCAATCAGTACTGCTTAATAGCCTAGAAATCAAAGCCATTTAAGCCCCATTCTTTCTTCCACTCTTATAAAATTCCTAATCCTAGTAAAAAATCTCTCGATTAGTTTTAGCCAAACCACACTGCTTCAACATCAGGTGACTGCAAACGGCTGGAAAAGCTTCTACATAGAGTAACTTAAAAAGGCCATAAAGATCATCAAACTCAAAAAAACGTCCAAGATATATCTGCAAGCATGGGAGTCAATTTTCTAAGCAACTGAGGAACGTATACTATGATCCAGAAAAATAAAAAATAAGCACAAAATGTGTACTCAGGCATAGCAGTACTTTGAGTTGGCCAATGAGTGTCTATACCGTGCAGGATGGGACTGGCAGCCTTGCTTCCTTTGCCCTCCATGCAGCAGGGCTACATGGAAACAACTTTGGGAATTTTCATTTATCTGCCAAACTGTTTGCATTCAAAATAGAGAAGCATTTTTAAATTAATGCAATCAGTCTAAGCATGGTTAGTAATAGTAACTAATGGCTTCAGAGGTAATACAATTATTTATCCAAAATAGATCACTTTATCCAAGCAAAAGGATGGAGGATATTTAAGCGTGGCACTTGATGAGCAAGGGACTAGATTTTCACTTTCAAAGAAAAAACCAATGCTTTCATAACCAAATTTTATCCTTGAGAAAATCTGAGAGCTCTAGTGGTTTAAACAAGGTTTGCAGGAAATGCCCACTTGTTATATTTTTGACAGAAAAATAAGAGCTTTCAAAAAGAAATGGACATCTTTTAATAGGGGACTTGGCAGTGCTAGGTAAATTGTTGGACTTGATCTTGGACATCTTCCAACCTAAACAATTCTATGAAATCTGCTTTTTCAGCTTTGTAGCCGATTTTAGAAAAAATGCTAAATAAAGTCAGTTGAAAATTAATGGAGACTGCACTTTGCTTTGCTCCATGTACTAGAAAAAGCTGTACTAAACTACCTGGGTAGCTACACAGAATTCAGAAGGTGAAATACTGATAAAGGCAGTGCATCTGGGGTCCTTTAAAATTACCTAAGACACAAATATCTAAAGACTTTAAAACTTGTTGTCTCACAACCTAGCTTGACAAGGAGATCTTGCCATCTGGTTTTTCTCATTTAAGTGCTGTGAAATTTCCATGTTTACCCTGCTGCTTCAGATAGAATTTTGAATATATTTCTACTTGTGATATAGAATAAATTTATATAGATAAATTTAGGAAGCTAAATCATAAAGAAAAATAATTAAAATAATTACTTTCCTGACATATTGGCATGGGAGCTGCTCAAAGATCTGGAACACCTGAAATACCCCTCTAGGAGAGGGAAGTGTGAGCAGACTGAGCATCTGCTAAATGGACTTCTACCTATGATCATGCAGACTTAACCAAGGGAATTATTAACACCTATATAACACATATCTAACATATGTATTTATCCACGAAAAGAATGAAAAATAGATCACTATAAAGTTAGGAGCGCCTCAAACTACTAAGGAGTTAGGAAAAAGAAGATAATTAAGATAATTTCAGTAATTTTAATTAAAAAAGGTAAAATAAAAATACATAGTTCAAATCTTTTAAAGGTATTGGTCTCAAAACTAATAGTCTAAATATAAAATCCAGAAGCTGGACTAATGTGCTCTTAGTACAGGGGCAGAAAGGAACAATGTCGCTCATATGCGTGTATGTACATGTGCTGCTTTTTCTTGGCAGTAGCAACAATATAGGTTTTATTTTATCTTATTTAAATATAAAATTTATCTTTTAGCATGGACACAGTAATTCAAATACCATACTGGTTATGACTTGGAGAGTTTTTCTTCCCTCTATTTCTTGCAAAGAAAATTTTCTCTTACCCACAGCAATCAGCTAATTTATTCTTGGAAAACCAAATCTAATGTACAGTAAAAAATCACAAATTATAGAGACCCAGCATTATTATACTTTCTGGAGATGAGCTGGTGTGAAGGCAAGGTGCTTTCATTTGACTGAGTTAGTAACAGGGAGAACTATTCAGCTGGAAAAAAAATAGGTGGCTGATCTTAATTACTTTCATAGATGGTAAATGTGTGTTCATTTTACTGCATAGCATTTTAAAGACCACTTTGAATTTTATCATTTTTCTGTAGAACAGATTGGAAGCATAGTGCTACATTCAGATCTATCCCCATTCCAAAATGTAGCTCACTGCCATGAGTAGATACAGTATTTACCATGGCTAGGGAAGTGTTTATTGGTACTTCTTGATTTTTTTTCATATATAGTTGCGAATCATTATAATATGTACATGTTTTACTCTATTTCTCTATCATCATACCATAACCTAATTAGCAAGGGCTATAAACAGAATGGTAACATTTTCACTCTGTTTCTCCTTGCATACCTCCCTAGTATTCTAGTGTGACGGTTTTTGCTTTTACCAAGAAAATGAAAGCCCAGTTCTTTAATCCTTAATATTCACTTAATTTCTTCTCACTAGCTTCTGAGAATAGCAAATGCTTCCTTGCTACTATAAACTCTGTAAAATATGACTCAAATCCCTGCAATTTTCTTTTTAGTTATACATATAGAATTTCAGATACAAAAATAAAAATGTCATGAATGTGGGTGAAAACAGACAAGACAAAGAAAAATGGTATAAAATGTTGAGTTTCCTCATCTACCCCTACAAAAGGAATTAAAACTGATAATTTAAAACTTAAATATGTACATCAATGAAGTCCAACAAGATCATCACTCGAAACACCATAAGAATGTTCCTCTAGGGGCTGACTGATGCAGGTCAGACATGGCAGCAAGATGAGACAGCCCTTTGCAAATGTATCTATATTCTCTGAGCCAGCTTTTTTTGTCGGACACGTGCATATAAAGTAAAAGCTGGAAAGAAAAAAGCAGACCTATGATTATGCCTATATGCCCCCCAAGAGCCAGAGATGGCACACAATACACGGTGCAGTTGTACTGCCCTGTGGCCAGCCTGGTGGCCACAGCCATCAGAGACAAGCGTGTCCCATGGGCACGCACCAGGGAGAGGAAGCCTGTGGAATGCCACAACAAATCCACGTGCTGCAGCAAGGCTGGCTTGTTAAAGACACAGAGAAAAACCTCCCAGTGTGCCTCTCCCATCTGCCCTCCTCCCTCGGCCTCCTTGCGGGACATGCCCTTCCACACCCTCGCAAAAATTAAACTGAGCAAGGTGAAGCCTTTGTGTGACTGGGCTCGGCTTGCAGCTGGAAACCACTGACCCCGGAGGAGTCCAGGTTAATTACAAGATTGTATCCCTCGGTACAGCCTTAGTACTTCTCTGCACGCTGAGCAGCTGAACTGCAGTCAGAGTGATTTACAGCCCAGGAAGATCAGCCTACAGAGCCCAGAGCTGCAGCAGAGGATCACTAAACCACCACATTTCTTCTTGTCATCCCCAGCACCTTGTGAGCTCTTTTTTGGCAGTGTGAGCTTCAGGAGACTGCACAGAGGGCTAACAGCAAAGCTCCCTTTTTAAACCCCAAGGAAATAAAAGACAACACCTAAAAAGAGAATTAGATTTGTACTCCCGGCACAGATTTAAGGGGTAACATTATAATTTCTTTTTTAAACTCCGAAATGACTTAGTCACTTGTTAGAGAAATATGAGTGGAAATTTATGAAACTGAGCGAAGCAATGCAATCCTCATGAGTGATCCGGCAACACTGAGGGGCTACAGCTGCCCCTGACACTGAAGGCCAACCTTGCATTCTGCAAAGAAAACATCAAATAGGCAGTTTGGGCTTTTGGCAGCAATGGGACATTGATGGCTTGGATCGTGCTTGAAATGTCTCTGAACTTCATCTCTGAAGCCTCAATCACATGAGCACTTGAGTAGCACAGGCCTTGGGACTGGGGAGTTACAGGAGGCCAGAAAATACACAAGCCCATTAGTATTCATCATAATTATTGAAATCTGTAAAATAGGTATTAGAATAAGTCTTTGCAGTAAGATGTGGATTGAAGTATTTGTTTCTCTCCTCTAGAATCAGATTGTTTTTGTTGAATGCCTGGGAAGAAAAAGAAAAAAAAAGAAATCAGAAAATGAAAAGGACACAGGAAAGATAACCACTAAGTGCTCTTTCAAGGCAGTTTTTGTGGCACATACCTGTGTATAGCAAGCCAGACAAAAATGCATTGAGAAATACCTGTATATCTACAGAAACTTGCATTTGCAAGAAGTATCGTCTTACGTAATAACATTCCTACAGAAAGTAATTCTACTTAATAAAGCCAGGCATTTTCCCCTATAATATTACAGAACTAATTTAATGATTCTGTGAATATTTTTAATCATATATATGCAGTCCTTCCTAATAGAATGAGTCACTATCTTTTTACTGAATAAGTATTGTTTTCTCTTTACTGTCTTAATTCCCTGATTTTCAAGTGGCAGAAATGTCTGAAGGCCTTAAAGCATAAAACCTGTTTTTTAAAAAAGTAATATGGGTATTTAGAATACTAATTTTCAAAGCAATGGGTTTCTTTTGTCTGTAGCTATCTAGAGAGATGATGTGGAATTACAAAAAGCTTTAAATTAGGTTCATATTACACTGCTGACTAGAAGATCTTTTCTTGATGTTTTTAATAATTTTCATTAAAATGTCTTTAATTAGAAAGAAAAATGCAGAAATTAAGAACTGGATTATCCAAGTAGGATATAAGAAAAATCCTCATTTGCAAAAAATCTTTGCAGATGCATGAATAAACTTTGTAATCTGAAGATACTGAACTAGGTATTTTCAAAATGCACATCCTTCCTTAATTTAGTGGATCTGAAAAGCAGAGTTATTTTAAAAGGTCACAAAAAGAGAAGAGCAATTTGGGAATAATGATGAAATAGTATGGATATCATTATAGGCTCTCAGTACACCTGTACTGCTTTTTCACAGAGTAGTTTGGCTATAAACAGTAGCTGAGAGTCTGACCCAGAATGTATTCACCAGGTACATCTCCCATACAGAGACATAGTGCAGGAAGATGAACAGTGCCCTTGAAACTGGATTATCAGAGCCAAAGGAATTTCTTCAGTAGATGCCATGGTAAATGGCTCTATTTACTTCTTGAACAAGCCACTAGGGAACACAATTAAGAAAAAAAGTCCCACAAAACAACTTGAGTGATTTGCTTTTTTCCCAGCAAAACCTGCTGTATAAATTAGACACAGATGCAAAATCCAACTTCCTGCCTAACAGGGATTGACAAGTGAAAGGATCTGCAATTACAATACCTCAAGTGAAATCTACTTTTGTCATTAACAATCAGCATAAGCTGAGCTCAAATGCCACTGCGGAAAAGCAGCAAGGAGAAATGTCATCTAGGTGCACTGAGTAGCTCCCAGCCCTCTGCTCACCTTGATGGCCTCCACAGAGTCGTATTTGTCCAGTTTGTTGATGTGGTTGGTGATGCTGGTGTTGAGCGGAGCGGGTGACACCGGGTGGATGACGGTGGCGTCGTGGGACTGCTGCTGGTACCGCTGGCAGTAGGTGTAAACAAGCAGGGTGAGAAGGCAACCGAGGATTGAGCTACTCAATCCCACTGCGATCATGTGGAACATGTTGAACTCTGTGGAGCGGAGAGAAGAAGGCAATCTTAATTTTGAGGCAGTAGCAGTAAAAGCTTCAGCTCAGGGAAAAATGTAGACAAGTGTTTGATTCAAAAAAGGATAAGGGAATTTTCATGTTTCCCTGAAACATCTCAATTGTGATGGTTTATCCCTACAGTAGTAAATTCATTTTACCTCCCTGAAGGGACCATTATAAGAATCTCAGATACCCATACATCTCTTTAAGTAGAGATCATTGAAAGATGCTTAAATAAGTTCAGAACGCAAATAAAAGAAAAATTAATTGCATTCCGTATGTTTGAATAGTTCGTTGGGGTTTTTTTTCAGACTGTGTAACAGAACCTTGTTATGTATAAATCATGTATATAGTATGAATAAATAGTTTTTTTCTTTCAGTGAACAACAGTATCACCTCCTCTGCTGTTATTACAGTTTTTTCTCTTATACATAGTGACTCGTGGCAAAACTGAAAAAATCCTGATATAATTGAACCCCATTCCTGCGTTCCATAAATGTTTTCCATATCCCTTTTACTGGATGCATAGCCCAGAAGCAGCAGCAGATGTTTTTTCCATCCCTGCTTTAATTCTTGCTGGTTATCATTCCTTTTGTATCTTGGCCAGTTTGTTTCCTTCTCCAGCTCTTGGAACTTTTTCTTTATTTAAGAGGGAGTAAGGAAGAAACGGTCGCCTTCTAGGGGGAAATGGGAAGTGGCGAGAGATAGACTCCCTGAATCTCAATACACCTTTAAGCAGGGCAGACAGAGAGTGCAAAGTCACAAAGTCAACACCTCAGAGCCCAGCACCCTCCTATCTGCTCTGCTTTTCACAGGCACAATGGCATCAGAGCATGGGAAACCCTCTCCACCTACGCAAGGATTAAAACTGAGAGGAAGCCCATTGCTGCATGAAACTGTAGGAGGGAACTTAAAGCACAATCATCCCCTGATGTTACTGAACAGAGAAACCAGATCAGATATGGAACCAGTAGGATTAGCTCAAAATAAACAAACTGGACTGCTTTCCATTGCTATTTTGAACAGGAGCTGTGCTTTTTGGTTTACTTTAGGGGAGAAGTATCACTGAGAAGCTCATATTGGAAATTTCATCTTAGCATGACTGAAAATTTGTTTGTTGTTGCCTAAATGTACAAATTAAGGATTTAAAACTGATATACTGGTGCTAGTCTTTAAAACATCTCTTAGATCTTTTTCACTGTGATACAGAAAAATGGGCCAGCACATGGGTCTCATTTTTTGTAAAATCTAAGGTTTACAAAACCTTTACATGCCTACTGGGTACCTAGAAAGACAAACTAATATTTAGGTGACTCAGTTGACTGTGTCAGTATATCAATCTATCAGTAAAATATCCTTCTACACCTTTACGAGGGTTTCCCAGTGCTGTAGAACTTGGCAAAATGTTTTCAGAGTACAACTGCTAATTAGCAAAAAAAATCAAATGACATTATCTTGGCTCCCATAACAAGTTACCATATGCACAAGTACCCTTTCATAACCTCTGTTTTTCCATTGTCCTTTATTAGGTTAAAAATGCAGCTTATCTGTGCATGGAAGAATACTAGGACTGGCCAGAGCTATTGCCATGACGACACAGACTAAGCGTGATAGCTCAGCACAGAAAAAAAAAGTTCATTTTCCTTCTTCTTTCTTCTTCTTCTTATGTTTAGTGGTTTTAAAAGTTTTTCCTTTCAAGATCTATTTTTCTAGCATCACGACTCTCCAGAATGGAACCTTTTATTTACTTTTCAGTTTTGTCTCTGAAAATGAAGCTGAAAATGAGTCCCAGATAGAGTCTGGGCCATTAAATTTGTTAGCAGGCTGTTTTTCTGTTGGTTTTTTTGAGTCTAAAAGAGGTTTGTGCACTTGTTATCCTGAAAAAGGCGGAGCAACAAATTTACAAATTTTGACCTTCTGATAACTAGATTATTATAGATATTTCTTTTTGAGTACAAGGGTGACTGCTACACTGACAAAGAAGAAAATAAAAACATCCAATAATGCATGTTCTACTCTCAAAGGTCACCAATGACAGATGGATATTTAATGAGAAATCCTGTAGTAACTACATTTTTCTGTACAAGTAACTACTTTTTTCTGTACAAGTGTAAATAATGAGAATGCAGCATTTAGAAGGTAGAATATTACTAATAAGGGAGTGCAAAAGGTGAAACAAAATCAAAAAATGGAGAATCAACATTTCAGCATTTAACAGACATCTCGAGCTGCAAAGCTTACCACCACATCGTTTCTCTTCTATGCTGCTGGATCGTGCCACAGATATTTCTAGAAAAATAAATAAACCACTTAGGCCAAGGAAAAAAAATATTACAGAGAACTTCTAGTTAGATTAACACAGAAAGGATTTAAAAATTCATTCTATTACATCCACTTCAATTAAAGGTAAAAAATATTTTTACTATATGGTAGAATTAATAGAAAGGACCTATGACATCTTCAGGCTCCTTAGTCTCCCAAGCAAAAGCAACAACTTATTTTTAATTCTTGCTCAAAACATCTCTGGAATAAAAAGGATGAAATGCACATGGAAACATTCTTTGTGGAGTTTAGGCTTGTGGAGAAAGAGTTGATTTACTGAAGTAAAATTAACTACAGTTTAATTACCTTGCGTTCAAATGTGCTCATTACTTCCAGAAGTCACATCTAGCACTAATGTGAAAAGTGGGAATTTATACATCTTCTAAAAAGACAACTGCTAATTTTGTAGGTCTCAGTAGGAAACTAACAAAATGCAATTTCAGCCTGTATCCTGACCATTTTTACTTTGAAAATACCGGATAAAATCTATAGGCAAACAAGCTTTTCCACTCCTTACTTCCAGACCATGGTTTCTATGAAGGAAAGTTCTGCCTTGGACCTCTTTGAAAGGGTCAAGGATCATTTGTATACAAGTGGGGTAGCAGACACAGTATACCCAGATTTCAAAAAAGCAGAATTTTAAGTTTTTTGACAATGTTTTTCCAAGAAAAAAATGAAGTGAGGGAAAAGATACAGAAATGGGCTAGTACTGTGTGCTCTATTCTTACAACAGACGAAGGTTGCCACTTCTGAAGGGACTGGTATTTTCAGCCAAGAGCTACGGAGGAAACCTCTCAGTTAGAGGACCTGGATGAGAAAAGTGAGCCAAATGAACCAGAGAAAGCAAGCTCGATTCACTAGGGTGGGAGTAATGGCATGACCTTATCTGTTGTGCTACTGGTAATGCGAGGAGGAGCAGCAAACCAGAAGGGCAAGAGACATGGTGGCTTGTTTCAGATTCTGAAAATGCCTTCCTTCCAAAACAAGATGTAGAGTTTATATTGGATTAAGCTGCCGATTCACAGAATGTGGATATTAATAGAGCTTCAAAAGCCTTAGAAAAAGGAAAATACAATGTGGGCATTTTTGCTTTCATACTGACATTTTTCACATTGGTTTTAGAGGAAAATACAATTTGGGAGTTAAAGCATTATGCACCACCCATAAAAACAGAGTTTAACTTTTCTGAGGTCTTTGTTACGTTGTACTATAGTTTACTGCACAGTCGCTCAAAGAAAAGGTTGCAGCACTGAATAAACACAGCTACATTTCAAATGATACATTAAAATGTAAATTTTTCTGTCTGTGAAAAGAACCCTAGCTATTTTTAATGTACATAGGGAGAAAGTCAACTGCTAACAGCAGTGCATTGTGACCATCCATACTGTTGTGCGGATTTAAAGGACTCCTGTGATTTAAAAACAAAAGTACAGTCATGACTTTCAACTAATACTAGAGAGTAATACATAATGTGACTATTCATCAGGTACTTAGCAGTCATGGGAGATAAGGACTGGAGGCAAAGCTAATAGTATTTACCTTTCTGAGCAGTTATCAAGGTAAGGGACTGTCTGAAATGATTTCCAGACTTACAACCACAGTACCCATTTTGTACATGTAAACCACAAAACCCACAGCAACCTTTCTTTAATAATCTTAGTCCCAAAACCACTTAAAATAAAAAGAAAACTATTTCTGCTTACTGTGTGTACTCATCCCCTGCTACCAAGTAGAATGGGAGAGACCTGCAGAATGCTGTGATGGTGACTAACCAAGGCAGTGACTCTGGGTGCCATGGGACAGATTTTTATGTAGACACCAGATCTATACATACACATCATCTCTACACAGTAGACCAACATCCTTCTGCTGACTAAAGGCAAGCTCTGCTTCAGTTCATGGATCTGCACAGTGCAGTCTGGAACAGTGCTATGCCTCGCTCCTGAAACCTTGAGAGATTTCACTGATCCTTCAAGGAGCTGACTGATGTGGTCTCACCTGGTATGAAGTTGGAGTCCACCCCGCAGGCTCGGCTCTCTGTGGTGTTGCCCGTGCACTGGCTGCCCACAGGAAACACAAGGATGCACTGCCGAGCGCGGCTCTGGAGGCCAGACGAGTCGCAGTCAGACCACTCAGACCACTCGGACCAGCTGTCTGCAACAGGCAGGAGGGACACACATGCAGACACTGGGATTAAGGAGTTCACGTGCAGTGAGTGAGAGAGAAATAGCTTGTATTTCTGAGTTAGGACAGAAAGCCACCTCCCCTGCTACCAACATCTAGCAGAGGGCAGCCCCTTCATTCCGATAAAACAAAGGCAGTTTGGCTTTGGTAGAAGTCTCTGAAATGTGGGTGTGATGGTAAATTTGCCACAGACATCTCATGGTTTTGGCTTCTGCCATGGCCTTTGTGGGTGGACATGAGAAGCTGGAGGATTCTGTGGGGGTGACTGAAAGAGTGATAGCTGTGGAATTATTTCCAGTCTCGGTCATTAGGGTGGACAAACACACTGCATTTTTTATGTACCATACCAGTAGCAATGAGAACTATAAGACTATTCCATTTTGAAACAGGATGTATATTTAACCCCGAAGCAGAAGCATCTTGGTTTTTAAAGTTTTCTTTTTTAGCTTTTCCTATTTCAGGTTCATTTCTTGGCTGCAGATGCTCATCTTCTCTTCCCCATTCAGTTTGTCACCTTCTATTTATTTTCTATATTTCTTCCTCTCCTCATGTAGCTTTGATTAAGATATTTTTATTTAATGCCTGTGTGATCTCAGATACTTTCCTTAAATGAAGTGAATTGATCTCATTCCCATGAGGTGGTGTGAGTTTACTGCACTCAGCATTCTTACAACCCAAGGGCAAGCCTTGCCTTCATAGGACTCTTCTGAGTTTGGCAAATATAGGAGAGACAGAGCTCAGGTAAACTTCCTTTCTTCTGTCAGCCTTCCCACAGAGATAGGCTTTATGGTTTTGATACAATAAATAGAGTCCTACTATTTCAAACCAAACTTGTTTTTACTTCAAAATTTTAAGTGATTTTATGCCAATATGAAGCAATTTTACAAAATCTCATTTTGGCTCAAATGAAAAACTGTGTATTTTCTAATTTTGATTCAAGTTAGATTGAAGAACATTACAATTAGTGAATTAGTGAAGCTTTTCTACACCGTTAATCAGGTGGAAAGCCAAGGAAGTTTTACAGTCTTTGGGGCCCCTTCCAATATCTTGTATAATTCCAGAATACAAGGTTCACATTTACTCATTACTTTCCCCTTGTTCACACGGGAAAGAAGTTACAACTCTCAGTCATCTAAAATAGACTGCAGCAGAAATACTTGAGACTGCAGTCTTGAAAAATGCCAAGCAATAGTTGTTGTTGATTAAATAGATTTACCTAGCAGGTCAGGTAGGAACTAGGATATTGATATTTAATTAACAATTAATAACTGTCTTGATGAGGCCTTCTTTGAACAACAGGACAAATATCTTGCTACAATCAGCTTGTAAGATCTTGTTATTGTGAGTAGCAGAAACACTCAGCTCTGTGCTTTGGCTTTTCTGTTTCTTAGGAAAGGTCCTGGGAGGGGCTCATTTGCAGAGTGGCGACTAGGAGCACAGAGGCAGATGCCAAAATGTATTTCAATCCTAATTCAGGGGGGTAGGAGAGCTGAAGTGGGAGTCAAGCAAATGGACAGGCTTCTTCCTGCTTTCCTGTTTAGTGTGGCACATCCAGGAGCTGCTGTTATCACCTCCTGAGTCAGCTGCTAGATCTAAGTAAGATATGTTATGGATCTTTCCCCCAAAAATTTAGTAACAATAAAGCCCTGCTCATTCAAGCTTAAAGGAATGTTGCCCATTCATTACAAATCTTGGCCCAGTTCTCACTGATGGCAGAGAGCATGCTTAAGCCAGAGCCAAGATTCTTGTCCAGTCCTGGTATAATTGGGATATACGCAGGAGGTGCCAAAATACTTGTGGGAATCCTAAATGCATCTTGGTGGTTGGTGCACTCTGCAGCCCCATCTTGTCCAATGTGCTTTTGATCCTTTGCTGAAGGAGCTACATCCCATGATGAAATAGGAACTTCAGAGTACACAGGGATCATGCTAAGTCATACATGAGTGACTGGGCAAGTTTACTGTTTTGTCCTGCTCCTCAGGGGACCCATAAAGAAACTGCTTGAGTCCTGCAGTGCACCAGACACTACAGGACAGGTAGTCTGGGTCTGGTGCTGAGCTGATCAGCTTCATCTGGCACACAGAATCACAGAGGAGGAGAGAGAAGAGAGACATCAGTGCATGCATGAAACAGAGGGTCACCCTTGCAATGGTGGGTCCTCACACCAAACCTGTGGTTTGAAGAGGTAGTTGGGAGCTCAGAGAGCTGCAGAGGAGTAAGACACCCAAGACTAACAGATGCATGACTTCAAATTGTCAGATGTGCCATCCCTGCGAAGGTGATCCCACAGCTTTTGCATGTTTTTGTACTGACTCAGCTATCTTTGCTGAGCTATGCCTCATTCCTTTGATATCTTCAAAGTATCTGAGGCTCTCTTGCACCCCAGTCAGGCTCCTGAACTTGCTCCTCAGTTCTGTGCACATGTCATGAGAATGTAAAAGAGAGGGTCAACTGGAGAGGTGTTTAACCTGCTGAACTGCTTTTCACCTCTAGCATGGCACGGCTTAATCATGACATGTCACATCTTCTTCCTACAGACTCTTGGCTGGCCTTTGACGCCAGGTTAAGATAAAGCAATTCCTAAGAGATCCCTTGGTGAAGGCAGCACTGCACAAAGATCAGATTAATCAATGTAACATTTAAATCTCTTTCATGCAGTATTACACCACCATTTTTAAATGTTCAGCTTTGTCCATTATTTGTATGTGCAAGTTACCAAACCAAGGACAGAAAGTATTTTCACCTCTTAGAAAAGCAGTAAATATTTAAGGTATAAAATACTGTTTTATGCAACATATTGCAGACACACTGCAACTGGTTACACTTACTGATAATCAGCCACTACTGATCAATACTGCAGTGCTGTCTTTCATATTGCTGTGATTGCATTTGAGTAAATTAAAATAAAAACTACAAACTCAGTGATAGAGCTTTTAAAAGGAAAGATGAAAAAGCGATGTGTTTTACAGACACAAGACTGTTACTTTCTTTTAAGTGCATACTTGAATACTTTCAGTTGGATTTTCCATTAAATCTCTACATCCTCAACAAATCCTTAGTATGGGGATTCCAGAAAGTTTCATTTGCTGCTAGTTTTGTTTGGAAAAAAAAAAGATTCTTTCAAATGCCAAAAAATCTTCACTCTTTTCACAACTTAAGAAATGGTATAAATCATTTCCATTTTTTGCATATTCATTTCTGTGCTGGATGGTCATTCTTAGATTCCAAGTGTCATTACTATTCTCTTACACTGAGCATGTCACTCAAGCAGTGAATGTCAGCAATGGTGCTTTCAGATCTGCACAAGGACAAACCAGTCTTCCCCTTGCCCTTACCCCAAGAAAATGGCTCTGCAGGTGTTCAAGTGTCTGTCCAACTTGATCTATGAAGCACTGTGGTTATTTTTGACCCATACCCATGTGAAATAAGAGCAGTAAAAAGCAGTTGTGAAATCTATATTGTAAACATGAGGCAAGGGCCATTCTCACAGCTAGTAGATGATTGCTGTTTCAAAAACCTACGGCAAATTTTCAGTGAGATTGAAGTATCAATAAAACATTACAGAATGTGAAAAATACATTTTAAGCTTCTGAAATGTTATTGTTTTATATGAGTTTCCACTTTCTTGAACTAAGATGAATGAAACCAACCTCCTCCTGAATTCTGCATCTGCTCCAAAATTTGGGTCACAAGCAGGTCAAAATGAGATGAAGGCATTATTTATCAATGTTTGCAAACTGTCATTTATAGGAGAATGGTGGCAGAAAATAAATGCACAACAAGAGAAATAGCTACAATACTAGCACAATGAACACTCCAGCTCTGACCTTTCAAAGATGCCTTAAAGGATTTCAAGGCAGCTGTGAGACTTCTGCATACAAATGTACAATATTTGTCTCAAAAAATCAAATAATCAACTGATTTCTATGCTTGGCATTTTTTTTTAACCTAATTGGAGTTTTTTTTTTAAACCAATCTGCTTTAATTTTGACAAAGTAGGTACTTTTATTCTGCTGGAAGATATGTAGTGCCTAGAGAAGGAAAGAATCGTAAGAAGTAATATGATCCATTCAAAGTCTGCCATACAAGGGCTTTTGCCTTCACTTGCATAGCCTCATCACATGAGCAGAAAACTTTTGCTATAAAGTCTAGGAGCTCTAAGTGAAACAAGTAATACAGTGTGGCATCAGAGCTCCTTCCTTCCTTTTGCTGTTGCCTGTAATCCACTAATCAGCAATAAATGAAAGTTATTAAAATAACTTAATAACAATAAATGAAAGTGATTTTAATCTCAATTTCTCACTTAAATTTAAATCTAAAAGAATTAGTTTCCTTTAAGATGAGTCAAAAGGCAGAGTCAAAGTTACAGAAATAGACATGATCCATAATATCATACAACTAGCAGGAGTGCTGAGACATTTCATCTATTAAGCACTCCACAGTCATTTAAAAAAAATCAGATCTTTGTTCCTTAACATTAAAAGTTGAAGAAGGAGTTTTACAAAGACCATGAAAGTTTTCTTTGTGTTTTATATTAAAACTGGGCAAATATTATCTACTTAAAGGACCTGATATCACCTGATGTAATGACACATGTTGAATATTAACCTCAGGAATTTGCTTGCTGTGAATGTTTGGTGTTGTAACAAAAGCACTTCTTTGTGATATTTTTACTAAAAGTCTCATAAACCATTTGCATGGTCCACTTCAAATATTACACAATTTTACTTGATCCAGATTCAGATATAGCAACTTAGATTTTAATTTTTAAAGAGGGAGGAAGGAGGTAGTCTCCAGTAGAACGTATTCTGCTAGTACTTGATTTACTGTAGCATTGTAGCACGTAAGGGCTGATCATGCACTTAATAAGGGAGAGAAATTATTTGCTCCTGAATAATAGATCAAGGGCAGTATGTTGCCTAAATGGGAATGCCTTATTCTGTGGCACACAGAGACCAAAGATGGATGGGTACCTGGACATGGCTGTGTGTTGCAGAGTGCTTCCTCCGTGTGCAGGCCAAGGCAGATATCCCCTCCGTATGCTGGGGCTGGGTTTGTGCACGAGCGGGTTCTCATGTAATGCCCTCCTCCACACGTGGCTGAGCACTTTGACCAGGATGACCAACAAGACCAGCCTCCATCCACTGAAAAGACAAAGAATACTGTATTTTTCCAAGCTGATGCGAGACATGACATAATCCGGCTCATCTTTGTCATATTCTGTGGATCTAATTCATGGCCATCTGAACTTCTTGGATATTTTTAGCTGTCACTGAACATGGTTCCCACAAATTTAATCACAATACAATTTAATTTAAAAAGGCCCTGGTATGCTGGAAAAGTCTAACAAAATTATTCATACATAAAAGACACTTTTAGGGGGTATCATAATATCTTTAAGGGCAAAAATCTTTATTTTTCTTTTCTCAGTTCTGAGGAAACAAAATACCAAAGCTTGTTTAGCAGAAATATCGTAAGCTCAGAATAGTTTTTTGTTGATATAAATAAAACCTAGCCATATAATAGCAACAGAAGGATGGAGGAATTCAGAATTTGTTTCTCAACACAGGTGGATTGCCTTAACCCTACAACCATTTCAAATGACCTAACACAGCTGTAGGATTTGATGGACCAATATAATCTTACAGTCCTAACACAGCTCTACCACAGATGTCAGAAGTAGAACAATGGCAGAAGCTTAAGAAAGCAACACACATTGACAAAAAGGAGTTGCCATTTTAAGTTTCCAAAACAAGTTTTTGAAGAATAAATATTATCATTTACCTTCCCCTCCCCACTCTCTTCTGCATTTACTTATTCAAGTATGTATGTCAAACTATTCTCCAGTCAAGTTTTCACAACATTCTTCTGAAATGTAGTGTGGATTTCATGGGAGACCCATTTGTCATATGGTTTATGACACATGGCCACTAGACAAGATTTAAATGAAAGTTCATTTCATTGCCTGCACCAGTCTGGCTCCTTTGAGCCCCTGTTCTTAATGCTACTGCTTCAGGATGTGTTTCAGGTATTTAGAGCCACATTGCAGCCCATCTGCCAAAGACTTCGTATGTGTAGCCACGTGACAAAGTCAGATGTACCTCTCCCAGGGAAGTAATATTTTCTTCATTCATCTTCTTACAAAAACCTAAACTTTCAAAATTTTCATATCCTACAAAAAAGATTAATTTCTTTTCAAACCGTTTTTTAAAGCATTATCATTTGAATTCTTACAGAAGTAAGTTATTTACCATGTCTTTTTGATCTCTGTTCAATTAATGATAGCTTTAATTTCAATGGATAGTTTCTACTGGTTTACTGAAATGCTATTCCATTATTATCTCTTACCATTAAAAAAAGGTTACAAATCTTAAAAAATTAGCTTACAGTGAAAATATCTATGTGGTATTTGCACTTAAATTCTCTCTTAGATGGAGATATAGAACACTAAAAAAAAATACTCCTTTTGGCTTTGCAGGACTGCATATCACATATGCACTTGGTGAGTGAGTAAAATGATTTCTATGTAAAGTCTTCAACAGTGAGAAAATGAGCTAGGAGAATTTTGATATTAAAAGCTATATATGCATTTTTAATGTAATTTCAGATAGAGTACAGCTTCAAGTTCTCAACTGCTAATCAAACAGATAATTCCTCATTTCATACTAAAGACTATTTACTAATACTGTAACTGAAGTTGTTGAATATGCTGTATTTTATTCCCAGCATTGTTTATTTGCAACGCCATCCTAAACATAAAGAAAGCATGGACTTGGAACTTCCTTGCTAAGAACTGTAGTCATGAAAACTCTTGCAACTAATTTATCTGGACTATGAAGCCTGATTTGACAGACAGGATTTCCATAATCTGGTACTATATTCCAAGTATGCAATTTAAATAAATTATTTCCATTATTAAGGAATTCAATGATTGCTACATCATACAACAAATCATCATGCATGAGAGAGTTTTATACCACCTATCATAAATAAATACTGTATCTTGGTAGAGTATCTGACTTGTTCTCTTACTTATATTTTTCTTATTCATACTTTTCACTGGAAAACAAAAATGTCTTTTTGCCTGAGATAACTCTATTAATGCAGTATTATGCAAACTCATATCAAAGAAAGCCATAGGTTATTTGTCTTCAGTGCAGATGAAATATTCTCCGCAATTTTATAACAATTTCAAGACACAGCATCTTTTATTCAGAACTTGCCTCTTTTTTCTGTTTTTTTAAATTATGCCAAATAAAAGCAGAAGCTGTTACCCAAGCTATTTATTTCATACGACATAAAGGCTTTACCTTTCTAGATACTCTCTTTTTTATTCTTTTTTTTTTTCTTTAATGGGATCTTTGACTAGCTCAAATGAATAATCAGAGGCATGTCTGCTGCAGCATATAGACCTTCATGAAACAGAATTGATTCTGCCTGAGATTAACTACACAGAACATAAATTGTCTGCAAATGTTGCCAGTGCATTGTTCACTGTAATGGAGACAGTGACCCCCAACACTTCCCTACTTATTTTTCAATGGACCAAAGTGAGAATTACAAATGCACCTGCATTTGAAATTGCCATCGATCTACAGGTGGTTGAGAATGCAGAGACCGATGTGACACCCAGGAACGTCACCATGTTCCACCAGTGCCGTGATCATGGCTGTACTATTGGGCTTCAGATGTAATGGGAGAAGCGGGTCTGGGGAAGGTGGCATAGGACAAATATAATAGACAATGTTAGATTTGATCCTAGTTGAGCTGGACAGTGCAATTATAACTGTTTTTGGTTTTTGTTAGTAACTATTTACTGACAGGCTGCCTCTAACCTTTCAAGGACTATTGTAACTACCTCTTTTATCTGTCCCCAGAACTTTTTCTTTTCGGCAATAGAGGATAATAAGGCATCATCATGGTTAAATAAGATCAAAGGAGTGGGTATTTACTGCTTGAGTTTTTACAAGACCTAAATAGAGCTCTGTGGTTTCTTTCATCTTTCTTTAAGTTGCTTAGCAACACAGCACCATCTGGGATTTTTTTTTCCCTTTTTTTCCTTTTGTCATGGAGCCCTTAATGTTATTTCTGCCTCTTATAAGAGGAAAAATACACAGCAGCAAGGAAAGTTCCAGTCACTACAGTTTCTTTACATAACCATTTTGTAGAGATGTTGGACAAAAGAAAGTCATTAAAGTAGATGCACAATAAAAGATTTAGAGAGTCTTTACATTTTCTGACAATTGCTGAGGTTGGTCCCTTTAGGAAGAAGGTACTTTTTAGCTAGGAGTGCGCTATCAAACAGTGCACTTTCCTTTAGAGTAACGCAAACAACTTTTTGCCTGCTGGTTGTTGCTGAGGTTAATAAGTATTTCTTCACTGTAATGAAAAAAAAACACACTATAGGGAAGAGGATGTGCCAGGAAGAAACAGTGTACAGAAATGGGATCTCCTGAGGACACGACAAAACATCCACAATAAAGTAAACTGGAAAAACTTGTAAAACTTTGGGTTTTACAAGGAAGTGTGGGCAGACACACTGACCTCACCTGCTTTCATGAGAACACAGATAGAATTGCAGGCTCCTTTGTAAGCTGTCTGTATGTTGGGCAGCCTACTGCTCCCTTCCAGACATCTGGGGATCACCCCATTCCACATCACTTAGTCTGCTGCTTTTTCCCAATCCTGTGAGATACTGCTGCATGATTCAGGGTGGGAAAGGAGCAACTTTTACATCATAGTTTACAAAGGCAAAGTCTTATTTCTGTGATACCTTTTAGTCATAAAAGCAATGCTGGATGAAACAGTCAAAATAGTGCAATGCAGAAACACAAGGTAAACAAATGGCTCTAAAAAAAGAACAATAACAAAATCTAAGGGTCAACTTGGATTTAAACCTGTAACTGAGACTTTTAAGTCAGAAAACCAACAGCTGTTTCAAAGAGCAGTTAATCCCTCTTCTTGCTGGCTACAGAAGCAGCCTAGAGAGATCAGTGCACGTTATGAGAGGGGCTTCAGCTTCCATTTACCCGAGTTATTTTTTTTCCTTGTGATTTATGAAGCTACTGCAGGATAAATTTTATTGTTTTAAATACATTCTTGTTTTCTTGTGGCCAAGTGTGAGTTCAAAGAAAAAATAATCGGAGTAAATGAAAACAATAAAGAAGAAAAAAAAAACCAAAACCAATAAAAAGCAACTGGCTTTAGGGGATGCATAAATAACTTAAATAGTCTTTCAGGGATTTTTGTATATCTGAAACTCATTATTGTTATTAGCAAGTTTAGTGACATTTGAATTTATTCAGATCTTCTCAGCTAAAAAGTCACAACTGAACTAAACTAGAGCTACTATAACAAAAGTCTGAAATTAGTAAAATCACAAAATATTTTCATGAAGTATCAGAATTTCAAATCTAAGAGATGGCAACTGTCCTTTCCTTCTGATCCTCTACCATGCCCTGAGAAGAGAGAACAGGAATTCCTGTAGCTCATGCTACTCAGTGGTGCTCACACAGCTCTTAAATGTCCCATTAAGGCACATCCCCATGTCCCTATGCAAAGGAATATAAGAGAAGGCAATAAGAAACAAAACAAAACTCAAATGAAGAAAAGTTGTCTTTTTCTACAGAGATAACTGAAGAGATGTGCAATACTATGAATTAGGACAGCGTTCTTTAGATTCTTTAGGCTGTATCATTGTCAGGCAAACAGATCTTATAGTCAGCAAATTCCTGTAATTTTCGTAGATTTGCAGAATTTATCATTCAAACAACACTTCTCTTCATAATCTATTTCTCTTCATAATGTAAATATCTTGCAAATCCCCCAAGGACAACAAAATCCTGATATGACTGATTTTAGATTCATTATTGACTGCAGATTAGTAACTCAAAGAAAACAGAAATGTCAGTGAGCATTCACAGTTATTGAGCCTGTTCAGTTCAGTTCTTGCCAGCTTAATGCTATTCACATCTCTGAGACATAAAAAAAGAGCTGAGGCACAGGTTAAAAGCATAATTCGCTAGTGCAAAACAATAGTTCAAATTCTCCTGCCCCTCAAAGTAGCTTACCCAGATGGAAACAGTACTTTATGAACATGCCTTTACATTACTCTAGCTCACAAACTATTTCTGCAGCTGATTTGGGAGAGTGATGGCTAATTGAAGACAAAATTATATGAGGGATCATTTTAAAACTTAAACAATATGGAAAAATCATCTTCCAATACCTGGGTACAATTTCTAGCAATTTTCTGGCACTATTCAATTTACTATTATATATTCAGCCTTCAAATACTATGAGCAAAAGGCCCAGTGACTGCTACCAATCTGCCCATCAGTGGACCATTTACTACTGCAGAAAAAATTTCAGTTTCTCCACTGCAGGCCTAAAAAAGGTTTAACAGAACTTGCTGAAGGCAGAGTCTAGATCACTTCAGTAATTTTTTGAAGTTCTGGGATCCTGCATTTAACTATCAATTTCTGTTTATTAATATATTAATAAGTATATTTAAGATGTTGTAAGGGTTGCAAGACAGTTAACCAGACAAGACAGCCTTGTACACTTTGACTGCTCCATGGGCTTTTTCATTGTGTTAGTCCTTCAGAGCACTTAGTATGTTCCAGGATGACACTGAGCCCAGATTAATTCATTGAGAAGCATTAAGTCCTACTGACTTTCAGCATGACTTAAACACTGCTCAATATATTTCCCCATCACTTCCCTTTGTCATCAGTTTACCTCATGAGAGGTTGATCTTGCCTGCAATAAGCAGAAGAGGAAGCAAAGCAGAACTGAGCTTACAGTGGCAGGAAGGGTCCTTTATGGCTTCCATCACACCTCTGTCAGCTAACCAGATATTTCTGGAAGTGTAATGACTGGGATGGATTGTTACTAAAGGGTTCTGTGCCAGAAGGGAGCAGGTGAAGCTGTCCTTAACCTGGAAGAGCTCAGGAAAATCTTAGCATCAAATTCTTTATTGCAATTCTAATTCTAGTACTATGGAAAATACTTTCAGGTCAAGGTCAGAACAAAATGTCCTTACATTCCATAGCCTTTCTGTCTCTTTCATTAAAAATTAAGAGAATTCAAATTTATTGGTGTGCTTCTCCAGTAAGAATTTATTTCCTTCCGACAATGTCTAATTTATGGGTAAGCCTTATTCGGCAATAATATTTTACTCTGCCATGTCTCAAAAAATCAATTACATCTAGTGCTTGCAAAGTTTTCCCTTCAGATTTATCTGAGATCTGATTTAGTCTCCTATGTTTTTTCTTAATTACTAGCAAACAGTAATTCTGTAGCTGAGGAACTTTGTGATTCCTTGTTACAGGCTATGATACATCTAAATACTTCATTCTCTACATCTTTATTCAAATTTGCTTTGCACTGAAAAGAAAAATAAAATTTGTCTCTAAATAAAATTATTAGATAGATTAGGGCACTGCTTCTCACTTCAGAAAGGCCCACCACACTTTATATCAACAGATCTTTTAAAATATTTTCAAATTCAAAGCGCAGTTTTAACTTCGGCTTTAAAATTATGGTTTTTAGTCTAGGATATTGTCTATCTCATAAACAACTAGGGCCTCTACAACGAAGTTTTCAGGTGTGTTTTACTGGCTAAAACAATTTCTTTCAAAAAATGAACTAGCAGTGAATAGCTGCAGAGCTTAATAAAAATACCACTTCTGAAAACTTTTGACTAATTTAAACTTTTAAAAACTCCCCAAAAATTCAAGATAGCACTTAATTTGAAAATCAACAGCAAGGGCTGAACAATAAATCTAGCCCAGTATTATAGACAATCTGTGTCCATTTAATGAATGTATTTCAGTTCCTACAGTATGGTGATACAATCAGGTATCTCAGAGCTTGTGAGCAGAGCTGGTACCTTACACCACACCACTCATGTGCTTCAAAGGAGGCTGGGGGCAGTGTCCCATGGAGAGATTCCCTTTGCAAGGGAAGCAGGAGTCAGTGAACAGCTGCTGTGTTTTAGGTTGCTTCACTGACTGCATACATCCCTGGGGAGGTTTGCACACGTTGGTACAATGGTCTTCTAAATTTCTGCCAAACTACTTGAACAGTGCAGTTACATGAAACAGAATCATTTATCATTTTATTATCCCAAAAAAGCAAGGCATTATGATTCCAGTCTGGGAACTAATGAATCAGATCATGCACTAGAGCTGTGCCCACATGGAGAAGACTTGGACCACAATTCCCTAATTCTCTGAAAAATTTTTGGCTCTCTGTTTGTTCCCTTCCACCTCTCTCCAATAGAGCTTAATGTAGAAAACATGGACACCCTTCACTGGTCATGCCTCTATGCTCAGAAAGAAGCTTCACCACTTGCCTTAATCTCTTTACACTCCCAGACAGAGAAACTAGAAAATGAGCAACGGAAGCTACATTCCTCCTTGGATACAGCAAGAAAATTGCAGCAGAAAGCACTGGCTGGTTGTGCCCAAGTGCCTCTTCTAGAACTTCAATGGCTCAATGGGTGCTTCCCCATATCAAAACAGGGATCCTCAATAGAAATTCCCCATGGATCTGCCCCACCAGAAGGAGAGCTGGGAGCTTGAATGCCTCAGGGCATTCAAGTTTTCCAACAATCCTACTGTTCCTGCTAGCAATAAAACTGCAGAGAAATTTGCTTTCAGTGAACAGCCAGAATGTTCACAGAGCTCCTGAGTTTGCAGGCTGTGTGCCAAAACATATTGCTCAGGTTCAATTCAAGATGGAAACATGTTTTTCATGTTTCCAAGAGATAAGTGTTTTTTGCACAGATCTTTGGCTTAAATTCGGATGCAAGGAATGGACAGTGACTGTTAGAGGGCTCTAAAAGCTTAGGGAAAGCACTGCAAAAAGATTGGAAAAATACTCATATTATTAAAAAAAAAATAAAAACATGTCCAATGTATCCATGATTTCAGGAATACAGTTTTAATTTGAAACCATATATGTATATGCTAATACTCATATATGCTTTAAAATAGAGGTACACATACATAATATGTATATTGCCATAGAATTTCTTCAGGTCCGCACTTGAATAAATGACAAAATCTTCAAATCTTCAACAAGAAAATATGAAGCACTGCTATGCATAATTAATACAATTAAGGATGTGTATTAATGAAATGAAAGCTTATTTCTAAATTTATTTGTTGCTGCTGGAAAGAACTGAGTCATTCAGTCTTCTTTCTTTCTTCCTCTCTATTGTTTCTTACCTTGTACTCTCTCTTCCTAAACCAATAGCACCTTCTTTTCCTCATGTGTTCTCCTATATCTTTCCCCTTTCTTTTCCTACAAAGCCTCTGCAAAGCTCAAATCCTTTCAGTTGAATGTTTGTTTTATGAAGGGTGAGATGTGACTGAAACCAAGATTGTTTTCCCCTAGGTCAGAGATACAACAATGATTTTTAATCCAAAGCAGTTTCTTGTAAACATATATTCTACTTGTAATCCCTTTCATAGAATAATAAAACAACTTTAAATTAAGGAGAAACTCAAGATTCCAAGAACAATCTTTATGAACTGCTTGAATAACCATCTAATTCGGTGATCAGCTGTGAACCTTATTTGCTGGCAACTCTACACTTAAAAGCTAACACAGATTTAATGCCAGCAACCACTGTGATGAAAATAATATTTTGAGTTTAAATAAGGACTAGGCCAGATTTCATGTCTTGCCAGAATTCTTATGTCTTTTATTTTCCTATAAATTTACATACTAAAATTATATTTTTAGTCCCAGTCTCACACTCACAAGTGAAAAAAGATATAGCTATTAATACTCTTGACAATAAATTTATTGACATCACATGGGAATATTATCCAAATCCACTCACATTATAAAGGTACATTTGAGCTGTAATTGATTCAAGAACCAAAACAAACCCAAAACTCACCAACTAAAATAGGAAAAAAAAAACCAAAACCAAACCAAATACGGAAGATATAAATTTGACGTTGAGCTATTTTGTTTTAGCTTCTTTCATTTCATTTGAAACTTACCCGGGCAAGGCAAAATGTTGCATTCCTGGTACTCTAGAGATGGGCCAAGGCAAGGAAGTCCCCCATACTTGGGCTCAGGATTGCTGCAGACTCGTTTGCGATTCCGGATCCCTCTACTGCAGTCACGACTGCACTGAGACCATGGAGACCAGGGTGACCAGGCACCATTGATGGTATGAGCAGAGTATCTTCCAGAACGCAGGAAGTCCCCTGACAATCCTAATACAGAAAGGATCAAAAAAGTAATACTGAATTAAAATGCTGTCTCATCCCAAAACAACCTTTTCCTCTTAAAATTTACTTCTAGGCTTCTATTAGTAAATACTACAAAGAGAAGTAGTATTTACTGTCCTTTAGCCTCACAATCCAAACCCTAGTTTCATCTTAAGAATCTTTTCTTCAACAGAAATTTCACAATCACACAGAACTCAAGTGAAGAGTTGGATCCAACACTTCCGTTAAAGCTTTATGGCCGCAGTGACTGAACTAGACAATTTGCTCCACCAAAGAATGATAAAAATTATCTCTCTCTTTCACAGGAATTACCATCAGAAAATCTCCAAATATATTACATAGATATAATTGCCTCTGTTTCACAGGAAGAAAGTGACAAAGGAGACAGGACTGAGCTTCCTGCAACCACTCCTCAAGCCAGTTCCCCTGTCCTCCTGCAGGGCTCTGCTTACTTAATCCACCCAGCCTTCACTGCTGCTGGCTGTGTACAGAGGCTCGTGGGTATCCCATGCACTGTGCTTATCCTAGCCATATGCAGACTTTAGATAGTGTCCACTAATTATTCCACAAAGTCTAGCAAAACTACCCTCTTGTGAAAAGCAATGTTTTGCCAATTTAAAAATCAGTTTATTTTCCACTGAGTTAATTGTTCTAAGCCACATATAAGCTATGGAAAGCAGCTATGGAATCAGCTATGAAAATTCCTTTTTAAAATAATCATTTTTCATCAAACGGAAAACATATTTTCTAAGTTTAGTGCAGAGAAAAGGCATTAGATTAAACAGCAATGGATGAAGTCTGCTACTTATCAGTGAGAAGGGACACACAGATCGTGTACACAGCATCCAACCAATAGACCTGGATATATCCCTGGGTGAAGTTCCAATAATCTGCAGTTCATTTGAGTATCTCTGTCACTTTGGGGCTTGATCCTGCAGGTGAAAAGACTCCCTCAACTGTACTAAGCACAACACTGAAATCACTCTTGAGTTGTAGCTTTACCTCTAAGCATCATTACTAAGCATCTCCACCAACACTGCTGGGATTTCCTACTGTTGTCAAAGGAGTTCACCTTTCCCAATGGAAACTCTAAGATTGATGGACCAATATTTTATTACAAGTACTTATTTAAGTAGCTGTGATGAGGGAAGGTCCTGTGAATGGTACTTCAGCCAGCAGAGAATGTGGCTGACTCTCTATGCTAGAGCTTCAGTATTGACAACAGAAGTACAGATGAATTGCATCAACAGTGGAGAAATGCAGGGGGATTGTTGGCAGCTCTAACTGCAGCACAAATGTCTATTCTTAAGGAATTGTTTTGTGCCCTGCCCACAGGCATAGGCACTGTGGAAGTATGAAATGGAGATAAAGAATCAGAAGATTTACTGAACGATGCCATGAAAACCGACAGAAATAATACTGTGAGGAGTCTGCCCAACAGCAGTCCTGCACTGAACAAGATCAGCCTTCTGCATATTCATGATGGAGGAGCCTCTTATTTGCAGTGTCCACCCTATTTCTACCCATGCTTATGGCATTAGTAACACTGCTTAACTTCTTCCCCAAGAAATACGTTCACAATCATCCCAAAGTAAATGAGAGTTTGCATGTTTTTATTCAATGCTTGATAAAGTGCAATATTGGAATGATGATGCATTGACATAGAAATACTGGTAATAAGAAACTGCTGAAATTAATAAGAAAACAGCAGAACCGCAGTATAAAAATGATTAAAAATGGATAAAACCTTTCAGGAATTATAGAGGGTAACTATTTCTCTCCTGCTGTGCCAGATTCTATTACACAGATATTAAAAGCAGCATTTCAAAAAACATGACATACATTCAAATGCAAAAAGAGGAGCAAGTATAGAGAAACAGAATGTGAATTATGAATACAGGTCCACTTTCCTGCTTTGTGAGACCCTTTTTATGCAATTTTGCATCACTCTGATAATGGAAATTCTCAGCTTATGTACACAGTGAGCTCTGAAAACAAAATAATAACATATTTAATACCAGAATTCTAAATCAAGGGTTTTTTTAAGTTATTAAATTAAGAGCAATGCAAACACTGAGAAAAGTATTAATCAGACCAGACTGCCAGTCATTCCATTCACAAATCACTGCAGGGTGTATCACTTTGTGCTGCTCAACCCATCACAAGCTTCATAAGAATACTAGGATATTTTGAAGGTATTTTTGCAGGATATGTGTAGCTTTCTAAGTCCTAGGAAAAACGTACGACCTTATCTGACATTATGGTATTCAATTTCTTGGGATTTAAATTGGGGACTGGGGAGTGAAATCTTCTAAGGGAAAGCTCTAAGGTAGTTTAGACCTGAAACAGAAAAATATTCCAAAAAGAATCTTTTCAGTGTGGAGTTTCGTCGGCAGCAAGTGTTCCCCTGAGTTTTCTTCTTTTCAAAGCATTAAAAAATTTATTATAAGGACCAGTCTTTTCACAGTTTTACAGTAGTTAATAAAGTGTTCATAAAGGGGATTTTAGAATTTTCAGACAGAAACTACGCAATAAAAAATTAACATTATGCCGTTAACAGCATGAAAAGTGACAAGATCAGTTTGCATTCTGGAAACACTATATATTCCTTAAACAACATTATAGCCTTTTACAATGAGGGGACAAGGTGCACAGATGAGGGGAGAACAGTGCATGTTACTTATCTCAACCTTAGTATTGGTTTTAAAACTGACTCCCATAACTTCTGACCAGACAAGTCAACAAAGTATGAGCTAGATAAGCTGAGAGTTCAATGTATTGAAAACTGGCTGAGCAGCCAGGCCCAGAGGACAGTGATCAGCCATTAAGAGGCCAGAGATGTCCCGAGGTTAAATCCTGATTAACACCATCATTAATGACCTGGACAAGTCTGCCTTGACTGTGAAGACTGGCTGATACACCAAAGGGTCATGTCACACTTCGACAAGGCAGAGAGAAACCTCATGGAGTTCAACCGGGGAAAATGCAAAGTCCTGAATCGGCACAGGAAGGACCCCATGCAATCATACTTTGAGGCCAATCCCCTAGAAAGCAGATCTGCAGAGAAGGATCTTGGGGTTCTGGAGGACAGAAAGATGAATTTGAGCCAGCAATGTGCCCTTGGGGAAAAGAAGGAGTTTGGGTTACCCAGGGAAGAGTTTTTCCAGTAGATCAAGGAAGGATCCTTCCCCTCCACTCAGCGCTGGTAGAGAACTCATCTGGGGCTCTGGCCCCAGTTCCTGAGTCCTTCAGCTGAGAAGTCCTGTTTCTTAACTGAGGTGGTAGAGGGTATGTGGGGCAATATAAAATCAATCAAAATATTACATCGTAGAATTTGTTCAAGCAAATATTCTTCAGAAAGTAAGTGTATATACAGCACCAGGTCCTAGCCTTATCACAGTTTACATCAAATTCGACAGGAGAAGGCATAAATAGAAAAGCATTGTAACTTTCAGAGCAAGTGGCACAAAATTGAAAACTCCAAATTGTCTCATTAAACTGTGGTTTTCTTGCTTGCTGCTTCTGTTTGCAGTTTGGGCCGCTTTCAGATTGCTCTACATCCAACTTCAGAGACAGAAACTAGATTGTGCCACCCAACAAAATCCAACATTAAGCTGCTTTTCTCAGCTTACTACTCCCAAGATAAATATATATAGTCAAACCAGGATGCAACAGCCAATGCCCTTGGCATGGTAGCAGCAAAAGTCTAGCTGCCAAAACAAAATCTTAATTAAAGCCCATCTACAGAAATACTTGTAAAATCTGCAAAGACAATGATCAGTCATAGCATCATCAATAAATGAATGAATAGCTTTCCCAAGACAGACAGAACAGCTGTAAGTCAAATTCCAATCCAACCTTTATGACAGGTTCATCATACAAATGTTTTAAACTAAATTGTTCTCAGAAAGCCTATGACTGACTTAGAGCCCTATGAACAACTAGAAGCAAAAATTCTGCTTACAGCTTACCAAGAAGCTAATTTTCAGTTGTTCAGAAGTCATACTCCAGTAACAAACTGCTGCACACTGCAGCTAGAAAAGGGCAGCTTTAACTACTTGATCCCAGTACAATTTTAAAAAGCAGCTGTGCTTGTCTAAGGTGAAAAGTTCCACAAGTAACAGCAAGTACTGCAAAAACTTCAGTAAAAGCCATCACAGTGATTTTGTGGACAAAATAACCATTAACTTCTAAGATCATAAAAGACAAAAGATATCAACAGACATCTAAACAAAAGACTTTTCTCTCATTTTAAGTACTTCTGCTTTGTTCAGTATCAGTAAAATTATAGAGAAATTAGTACTGCCCTGTGATGATTTACTTATTTCATAATGCAAATATAGCTGAAAACAATTGCCTAATTAATTTACATAATTCTGATATAAACCAAGATGATTCTATGATTTATAAGTATATTTTTAAAACTTTTTGGTTAAATTGAAATCGCTTCATAAATACACAAGAAACTAATTGTGTCTGAAGACATGTTAACATGAAAGTCACCTGCCCTGACTAGCACAGAAGAAAAAATCTGCCTTTGCAAAAGCTTGTAATGAGACTTTGGTTGGCCTGATTCTGCTTGAAAATTGCAACATTCTCAGCCAAGTTCAATTAATTTGCCTTAAAAGTGAGGCTCTATTAAAGCACATAGTTTAATAATAATTCCCTAGTCTAGCCTGTAGCTAAGTAATACAGCCCTAAGTAAGAGAGAAGTAGCTGTGACACCTGATAAATTATATTACTTGACTGATTTATGACTTATGTCCTGCAGTTCCAACCTAACAAAGAAAATTCAATTATCCAAGCAGTCTAGGTTCATGACTTTAGGAAAAGATGATCTGAAGCCAAAATTCAGGTATCCTGAATCATTTCTAAGTGACAGCATGAAACACTGCTTGAAGTGCAGAGGCAACAAGGATAAGCAAAGATTGTTTCAGTGTTGTCACTTTATGAAGATAGTCTGCAAGTTATTTGACAATATTATTGAAGCATAAAACGTATATAACTTCAGGCCTAAATACCTATAACTTATAAAAAACTTTATAAACCTTCAAAACATAGTAAAATTGAAATAGTAAAATGTAATGGCAAACATTAATGCAGTGCAAAGATGACATATTTTAAAAACCCAAAGAGTATGCAGATGGAGGATATCATGTTAGCATAACTTTATTTCTTGTACACAGCTTTTCTGTGTTTAATTACTTAACCCCAAAGTTCCACTGAGTTGTGCTTTGTCAATCAAACTGGAATTTGTCATCAAATTCGGTTCTAGCTTCCAGAATTCATTTTGTTCTTGCTCAGAATACCACAGCTTAGCTTCAGTATGACAGTATAAGAGATAACATCTCAAAACGTACTCCGCCTGAGTACAGGACATTCCTGATTATCAGCACATGTCCTATTCTGTAAAAAATTCTGAATGCACTATCGATTTCCTGTGGTTAACACAAGGAAAGATTTAATCAAACTTTTCACAAGAGATCATAGCCACTAGGAGAGTAATTCAGACAAAATCACATCCTGCCTTCACAAATAACTATTGTTATGAGGTTTGAGATAGAGGAAGAAGCAAGAACTAGGAACCTAGGTGCAGATTTCCAGGTGCCTGGGGGAAAAAAAAGCAAACAAAAGAATCTTTAAGAGAGAAATTCCTGAAATTAGAAGTATTGCCTTTGTTAATTGCTTTCAGAAGGTATTTTGGAAGTTAACCTGGTCTCACTCTGACCGTGTCAAAGTCAAGTGTCTTGTCTAAGCCCACCATAGCTGTCTGCATTGTACACCATGAAAAGAAGGCAGTATCTATCTCCTTATGGGTGATATGGGTAAGGATATCTATATCCTTATGGGTGAACTGCACCCATTATATCAGATGATTATCTTAAATGGGTCCCTCATTCCTCTGGGGCTGAAGTTCTCTTTGAAGACTACTGTACAGTCTAGACTTTGGTAAGATAAATTCAACTTAGAAGTATCAGGCAACCTCATACCTTGTGAAATATTTATCCCTGGGTTAAAAGATTATGTTTTCAATAAAATTATTACTATTTATACATCAGATAATCTTACAGAGAGCCAGCATGTCTAATGTAGATATTTAATATGTTGCATAAGCACATATTAAAGCCTAGGGTAAGGTAATTTCTATACTCTGAATGCTGGATTGTACAGACTGTGCATGAAGATGTACAACAATGTACACAATCTCTTTCAGTTTATTTGAAATAGCTGTCTCTTTCCTATCTGAGCACTACATGAAAACCCAGAGGCAGAGAACAAGATTTATTTTTATTTCTTCCTAATCAAACTTCAAATCAGAAAAGCATGAATACAGTCTGCAAATGCTACTGCTTACTTGATTGAGATGGAAATCTTACCACACTCAGGAGGAGTCTAGTGGGTTTCTGGCAAGAAGTTCTATCTCTAAGCTCAGACTGCAAAGAAAGTTTGCTTTGCTAGCATCTGACAGTGAAACATGATTCTGTTTAACACGGCGTGACTATAGTTGCACAGTGGGAGATTATAGGCAATGAGAAAATTTCTAACAAATGGCTCCTATCTGCAAGGAACAGAGAACTGATCTCTGCAGAACACATCTTTGGTAATGAGGTATGCCAGGCACTCTGTACCAGAATTAATCTTTCTGTAAAAGCCAGAAAATTGCTACAATTCAACATGGAGATAATGAAAATAATGTTTCACAGCATCCAGGCTCTGGTCAGGTGGAAGTAAGTTATGATGTTTTCTTGCTATCGAGGTGAATGCACCTATGAAGGTGTCTGCCACAATTCATGGTTTCCCATTCTCGTGACTTCCCTCCGTCCCAAAAGCTACAGCTACTCTACATGACTCTTATTCATGTATTTTCTTCCAGTGAAATCAAGGAGCAGAAAAATGGCGTTGTATTGGCCCACATCTAAACCTGGGAGCAGGGAAGTGCTCCTGAATGCTTTCAGCTCCTGAATGCTGCAGTTTGGATGCAGTCAGCAAGTTTCATCTCATCAGCAAATCAAAATGGTGCCCCCTCATCCCTCCCTCAATAAATGTTCCACTCCATACTGTTCTGACATCCATAATCAGAAAATTATTAAGCAAACAGTCTCAAAATAAAATGTGCCAATGTCACCAGAAGTGTATTGGTTAATGCAGCCACTTGGAACACTGATCGAGTTTCACCTTTCATTACAGAATAATTAAAGACTCACAGGCCAAAATGAATCAAAGAATGAGTGCAAATTAATGACAAAGCCATAAGGGCACTCACTAGAAAGAACAGACAGATGTATAATAGTTTCTGCCCTGTCAAGTACTCAATAAAAAATACTTAAATATTCAGTAGTTTTGGGATTAGTCAGCAAAAATCCTTCACCCCGATGAACATTTCTATAACTATGCAACAGGGTTAGGGTCATGCACATACATTTCTCCAGTGATGAATTATTTCCAAATGAATCAAAGCAGCAGCTTCAGCAAGATGCAAAAAAAAAAAAGTACAATGCCAGGAAATTCAGGAGTATTATGTTCAGAAGCAAAAAAAACTCAAAAAACTTCATGCTAATCAGGCAAAAATGCACCTGAACCACCATCCCCACCCCCATCACTTGCACACTGAAAAAATACTTTATTTAACAAATTATTAGGTTTGTTACTTCTGCCTATATTCTGCAGGAGTCAGATTATGCATCCAGCTCCAGGAGAGGTCTTATGATTATGACTACAGAGCTGAGAGAGGTGTCTCCATGCCAAGTTTGAATTTCTTGCAGCAATGTGATCTATAACAAACTGGCTCTTCTCTGGTTTGCCCTACTGACCTCCTCTTGTCATGCGTTGGCTTTTGTATACTCCTCTCTTACATGCTGCCATTTCAGCTGTCAGACCAGATTATAACTAGATTCTTCTGTACCTTTACTTCTACTTGTGATAACTTACCCAAGTCTGCACTGCCTGGTGAGAAAAATATTCTCTTTCTCATTTAATCTCATGAAATTTTAAAAACATATCATCGTCTAAGTGCTGGAAGACAGCAAAAAGCAGCAGCACCACCTTAAAGTCTCATTAAGAACAAGAGACAGGTCATACACCAAGAGCAAAATCTTTGCTCAATAAAGTCTGAAATTTAGTTTGGATGAAAACAGAATAGAAGACACTTGTGACAAGAGTTTCTCCATGCCAAAATCTGCCTTGCTATCCAGACATAAGTGAAACCCCAACATTTGACATTGTAGATTATCTGAAATGGAAATGACATAGAGCACAAAACTAAGTCTTATCTGGAGTACCATTAGCTTTGGTTTATGATTTCACACACTTCACTACTGTATATTTCTTCAAAAAATTGCTAACATCCTGCCCCCTCCAATGAGACACAGATGCCAAGGGAAACAATAAAGGTTTTGTACAGGATGAAGGCGAAGGGAGGGGAGGTGATGGGGGGAGAGAATGGAAGTTTCTAGCATATTATCACAGAAGCAAACTCTGCAGCCTCCCCCGCTACCAAAACCTTGACATGTAAACTTAGTACAGGCAGGAGCTTAAAACTGACTTTCACAATAGTTGGTCTGTCTGAAGAATACTGAGAATTAGATAAAAAGTCCAGGGACTCAGAAACTGTTCTCTCTTTGTGGCCTTAGAAAAGCCAAATGCCTTCAGTTATCCTTTTTTTCTTCAGCTAACCTGGGTCTTGTGAAGATACAAAAGACTATGTAAGTGGAAAACAGGCCTATAAATATTAAAATCTAATAATAAAAGCAAAATATTTTTTAAATTATATGACTAAAATATAATACCTTAAAAGATACACCGATATACAATTTTAAAACTAGTTAATCAATGAAATGCATTAATAAATTTAGAATGACTGTCAAAATTCATCCTAGTTTTAATTTTTTATACTTACACAAAACTAGGTATTACTGATAGGAAAATAAGAAAATTCTGAAACAAAGTAATTCCAATTTAAAATCATCTAAATTTGAAAAGATTTTGAAGGGGTTTGGTTTTCAATCTCAGAAATGAACAGGACTTTCAATTACCAGGAAAAGCACAACACAAACTTTTATAAGAGAAATCCAGTTCATAAACTCCTTATTTATTTAAACACTTGTATGAACGTTATAGTTGTTATTTTCAAACTACTGAGCAGAAGTGCTTCTTAGAATATTATATATTCTGGAAATATGTTAATGCTGCCCAAACTCACCCCTAGTAAAAGCTCAGGGGAGTATAAGGGGTAATAGAATCTTACAAGATCAGGATTACTGTGAACAGAATTAAAATAACCTGGCAAATCTCATAATAGGTGATGCAAGACACTTGTTTAGGCTGAATGATGATGCTACACCCAGAAGGAATACAGGCTATGCTCCCTACTGGGATCACCGGCCCCTCCTTTTCATTATCAGTTCTGTTACACACAGCACCAGCAAGCAGGAACCTCCGCTCTGTGCTGAAAATGGAACTGCAGGCATGCCACTCGCAGGGGGCAGGGTGAGCCCGCCTTGTTTGCTCACCATCTGTGGAGCAGCCGCTGGTGCCGTCGCTGGAGCAGTAGCGCATCTCAATGCGCTGCCGCCCCACCTCCAGCAGGTTTGGGTCAGGCAGGCGCGCCTTGCAGGTGTATCGGAAACGCTGCTCGTAGTGACCGCCGTTGTCTGAGATGTTCACCGGCGTCCAGGGCGTCCAAGGAGTTGTCTTTTTTAACTCTGGGCAGGCGTTGGTGTTGCAAGGCTGATATTCCTGAAAGAAAAAGGTCATCATAAACACAATCATCAAATATGACCTTAAAAACACCAAAAAAACCACTCAGACAAAAAGACAACCCTTTAAAAAACATACTCGGATTTTTTTTCAACATTTCTAATGGCATTGATCATCAATGAACTTTTAATACCAGTCTCAAGCTGAAAGCGGTTTTTCAGCTTCTATGCAAGCTCAGTTCCACACTGCTAAAAGCAATAATATATCAGCACAAATTAGATCTATCACATCCATAAAAACAGTAAATCAAACACTCTAAGTACCGTAATCAAGCATATCCTTTATAAATTAATAGCCCCAAGTAAGGTGAAGGTAAATATGCCAAAGCTTTTAATTAAGAAGAATTCTAATAAACTGCAGGTACATGTCACAAAACAGCAAATAATTCCTTGGTAACATCTAGTGGCATATGAAAAAGCAAACCACTGCCCATTTTGTATATTGCTTACAGACTTCAAAAGGGACAACAGATAAAATAGGTTTTATATTACAGATTCTGGCTCACTGAGGTGCATGCTACTCATAGCTCCAGAATTGCTAAATGTATCTTCAGAAGAAAATTCCCTGTGGAGTGATATGCACTAAACAGAACAGATGACATTTAAGAAAAAAATGCAGAATTGCCAGTATTCTCACAAATGCAGACTTGTCAGTATTCTCAAGGCCCACAGTCTATGTCTTCTGATGAGTATCATCATGGTCTGTAGGTCCTGCCTATTCATTTTCCAGCACAAAATATACTTCATCTGATGCAAATTCTCTGTATAATTTATGGATGAATTTAAACAAGCATTGAATATCAGAATGAATTCACACTGAAAAATTATTAAAGATGAAAAAAAAATAGGCATCAGTTGCAAAACTTTTAAATTATCTCTCTACCTCCCTCTGAAAAGGAGCCTACTAAAATTTGTAATTTCACTAAATACTAAAAAATAAGGAAACAATAGAAATAATGGGTTTATCATATAGTACAACCTCCTTTTTACATAATCTCTACCCCAGCTGATACCACCATGTTCCAACAAGCAATAGATTACCTAATCCTCTCTTTCCCATGGAGATAATGGTCCTTTTTACCTTGTACTTCCTTCAGTCCACTACCTCTTCACACAGATAGTGTAACTTATGAAAATACCCAACTAGGTTTAGACCAATCACTTTCAATCCATATTTAAATTTAAAGCCTGTGTTGCTATTTCAAATCTAAAAGAAGCTTATTGTCTGAAAGCCTTTCTAATTTTCCCATCTGTTAGAGTTGGAAAAAAAAATCCTCAGAAATCCCTGTCCCATTAACACAGCAATACACTGGAGAACCCTCCATTATGTTCAGGATTCTCAAGTTCTGAGGCCACAGGGATTTGTGACAACCTTGTGTTTCCACAGTTTTATGTTACTTCATATATAAAGAGGTCTTAGACCAAAGGCTTCTGCTGGACTACTCTTGTTCCCTCCTGAGGGCTGTGCAAAGTCCTTCCCTACCTTAAAACCTTTTGATCACTTCTATGGCGACCACAAGTCATACTCAGGCACCATTCAGGGAAGATGATCAACCTTTCTGGGATCTGAGTGCCAGCCTGGTCTGGTTTCTGGTTCAGAAGACAGCAAAGAACAAGCAAACTATCTCCTCCCAGGTACAACAGGAGGAGTAATTTCTCCATGCCTCCTCAGGACCCAACTCTTTAAATCAGGTGTGTCTTAGACTTAGGACAGAACATGTGTGACTGTCCTCCTTGCAGCACATGAACTGTAAATAAAGAAATCCTTAAATCTGCCTTTCCCTCTCCTTTTTTTTCCTTTTTTTTTTTTAAGATGTCTAGCAGCGATGAGTCTATCACCTCCCTGGATCAGCTGTTCTGCTATTTAGTAATCTGCAAAGCTAACAAATTGCAAGTTAATATGAGGCTGCATTTTCCCCTTAATTTAATTTTCCAGTCACTGAATTTTGCTGTGCCTTTTTCAATGATGCTGAGAGTGTTTCTTGTCCCAAACCTACAAAAAAAAATTTCATGCCCAAATACCCATATATAATGATAAACTAAGCTCAGCTTGTTAAACCTACACAGGATTTAAAACCTGATCTCCAGGTCCTGTGCACCCTAATGTCTTCTATTTGTCCTATTTCTTCATTTTCCTTAAGACTGGACACCAAAAATGGACTGGGCACTCTAGAAGCCATCTTATCAATACAGCATGCAAAAGCAATCATCATCCCATTCGCCTGACAGTCTGACTTTAATATGCACATTATTGCATTAGTGTTTATTCCTTCCACAAGATTGTACAAAGAGTCGAAGTAGACCCAATTATCTTTGATAACCTGTCCTTTTCTAAATCACAGCTTAACAACTACCTATAGATTTTTATCCCACACAAGAGGCTGGTAGTATTTGGCAATATTAAAATATGTTTTATTAGCTTCTGCAATTATCTAACATATTATTTACTACCTCACCAATCTCTGTACTACTCAAGCTTTACTAAAAATGTCTTATATCACTGTCTAGACTGTTGATAAAAATGTTAAGTGCTATTGACCCAAGAACTGATTTCAGGCAGACTCTACTAGACACAGTAATTTATATCTGCCCATTGACACCACATTTTTCAATTTGTCAATGAACCAGCTTTTAGTCCATTTAACATTTGTCACATATTTCAGTTTTCTGAATCAAATTATTTTCTGTTGCAAAGGTAAATGTCTTGGAAGAGGAGATGTGCTGTATTACTTTCAAACATCTTGAATCCCAAACTCTTCTTTATTAGTAAGTAAACAGGAAAAAAAATCAACCAGTATAGTAGCTACTACACTGTTTATTTCAATATAGTCACAATAGTCTAAAAGTTTCAGTTCTTCATTTGCTATTGATTTTTGTACTGATATTTTTCAGTCAAAACCAAAAGCTGCTAGAAATATGAGGGCTTTCTTTATTAGACATGGCATAGAAAGGTGAGGGTCATGTAAAGCAGAATATGTGAGGTATGTAATGCACTCTGTCAAATAAATATAGCTAGTAAAGGAAGAAGTTAATTTAATGGCAATGTATTGAATGTTGCTTTGCTAACACACTTCTGAGATGAACATGTCAGCTCCCCTGCTTCTAGAAAGACAGACTGCCAGTGCTCAGTATGCTTCAGGATGTGCAGTCCCTTCATACACCCTGACAGAGAGCATATGTTCCTATGCTGTTACCAGCATAGAAAGAAAGATGTTCCTGAAGAGTGTCTGTGAAGACTACTTATTAGTTTTTCCTTTCCTCTTGCTTGCTGCATAGCTTATATGAAAGTTTGAGTGCTGTCATGCTTATCTATTCAACCACTGGATAATAACCACGAAAGGCTCAAGAAAGCTGGGGAAACAAAAGTACATGTACTTTAACTGGAGAATATTTACAACAGCAAATAATCTCTCCAAGAGAAAATTCAGAGGACTATTGCCAGAATGGATGACTCCTTGGAGTTCTGGCACTAATAATGACCTGGAAGAGCCCCTTGGCTTCTCTCACAGACAGCGAGTGCTGCACTGCTCTGCTGACTACCACATCTGCCACGGCGGAATCAAAAACCACGCGGTGCTCGTTGAGAGCATCAAAATTACCTGATGCTGAAAACTCTGGTAAAAACAGAACAATGAACTTGCTCTGAATTGCCTCAGATGTGGAAGTGAGGAAAAGGGGGAGAGAAAAGCCATAATTCAAATTACACATGGATATATTAAGTGCTCCTAGCATGAAGACATAGTCTAACAGGAAAGATTAGAGAAGGAAGAGAGAGAGAATATGGAAACTGATACCTCTGCTTGGTTTATCCTCCTCTTATCACCTTGTCCAATGCTTGAATGATTTACCCAAGAGGGATTTCAAGAATATGGCCCTCTCTAAAGCAGTTTTACCAGCTAGAATCATGGGCACATTAATCAAGTAACCACGTGTAAGTCTCAGACGAATAAAAGTCTCAGATGAAACATTGAGGTCTCATCTAGGTGTTAAGGCAGAGCTAGAAAAGCAGTGAGGAACTCTGCTTCAATAGTGCTGCTGAGAGGAACTGAGACAGCAGCTGCCAAACCCCACCTCTGACATTCCACATGGACTGAAGGGAGAGATGGGGTCAAGCTCTCCTGGGGGATTCTCTAGGTACTCAGAGAAATACTGCAGAGGCTCAGTGATGGATTATGCACATTAGTCCTTAGGGTACACTTGTGGACTCAGAGCAATAATTACTTGAGACCATTTACAGACTCCAAAAATATCATTGCAATAGTTGAAGCTTAACTACATTCTCAAACTTCTCTTTGCAAGTTGTTCTAAAACTTGTGGTCTAATTCACCATATTGCGGCTTTTAGTTTAGACTGGATTTAGCCAGTGGAGACAGTTGAATTTAGGCCTGGCTATACCTGGTAAAGATGCAGTAAGAGTTGTAAGACTAAATTTTAGGTCACAACTCAAAATTGCAGGTTTTCGGAGATCACTGGAAATTTTACACAAAATACACAAATAAATACATACCTCACAAAATACATGTCTATGAAAATTATATATTTAAATAAAAAATGAGCAAGAAGAATATTGGTGGTAATATGAGAAAAGACATCATAAATTAAAATGATTATTTGGAATCATAATATATCTGGAATCATAGTTAATGATTATGCTATTAAGCAGCTCCCTTGTTTCTGTCCTTAAATAGTATTCCCTAGTATTTTTGCAAAATGGAAAAAGAACATTAGTATCGTGTTTTCTACCAAGATTAATTTAGAATTATTTGGTTATATTGTTTTAGAAAATGACAAGTAAAATGTTATTTCAAACTAGAAGAGACTATTGTTAAATAACACTGAACAAAACAACAAAACTCACTGTTTTCTCCTGGAGGACATGGAACTGACTACTTTTTTTTGCCTCTGCATAGCTACTTCAGTCAAATTCCTAAACATTTTGAGAGTCTCTGAGACTTTTACTCCTAGTTTAAATTTGATTTT